CTAGAACATACGTGGTGGAAATAGGTGCTGTGGAATAATCCTTTTGTACACTGTGAATATGTATTGCTCTCATTGGTTTAATAAAGAGCCAACTGGCCAAAAGCTAGGCAGGAAGAGGTTAGGCAGGAGAGCCAGACTAGGAGAATGTTGGGAAGAAAGAGGGTGGAGTCACCAGCCAGACACAGAAAGAAAGCTGAAGATGAAAATGTCATGCTAGAAAAGAAAGAAAAAAAGAAAGAAAGAAAGAAAGAAAGAAAGAAAGAAAGAAAGAAAGAAAGAAAGAAAAAAGGTACTGCCACATGGTAGAGTGTAAAGTAAGAAATATGGGTTAATTTAAGTTGTAAGAGGTAGTAACAAGCCTAAGCTATTGGCTGATCATTTAAAGTTAATAATAAGTCTCTGTGTGGTTATTAGAAAACCTCACCTACAAATAGATCAGCAATTACTGTAACAGGCTTTTTCTTTTGGGGCCACCAGCCAGCTCCCAAATCACAACAAAGAGACTTATTATTAGTTATGAGTGCTCAGCCTTATGTTTGTCCCCCTAGCTCTTATAACTTAATCTATTTCTCTTCATCTATTTTTGCCTTGGGGTTTTTTACCTTTCCTGCATTCTGTATATACTACTCTGTCTCTGGCTAGCTGTTGACTGGCGGACTGACTAGATCTGAGTGTCTCCCTCTCTGTCTCCCTCACTCTCTCCTTGTTCTCCCCTGAGCCTAGATTTCTCCTACTACTTATCTGCTTATTTGGGCTTTTTTTTCTTTAAAAAAAAAGGCATTTTTACCAGGTAGAGGTGAAACATGTCTTTTTACCCCAACACTCGAGAGGCAGAGGCAGGTGAATCTCTGTGAGTTCAAGGCCAGCCTGGTTTACAGAGTAAGTTCTAGGACAGACTCCAATGTTACACAAAGAAAACTCTGTCTCAAAAAAAATGTATCTTTAACATTATGTGTATTGGGATTTTGCCTGCATGTATGTCCCTGTACCATGGGCATTTAATACCAACAGAAGCCAGAAAGTATTAAATTCCTGAACCTGGAATTATAGACAGTTGTGAGCTGTCATGTAGGCACTGGGAATTAAACCCGCATCCTCTGTCAGAAAAGTGACTGTCACTTTTCTCCCAGTCTTCCATTGCAAATTGCCCAGTCTCTCGGACTCCACCCTTCTTCTGTATCTCTGCATGGCTCTATCCTGCCTTGCCAGAGGCCAAAGCAGCTTTATTTATCAACCAATGAGAGCAACACATATTCATAACATACAAAAAGACATCCCACATCATAGAACAAAGAAAGACAAGCCTTATTGTGGTGAGCCTTCTACCTCAGCTCTGGAAACTTTGAGACAAAAGGATCCATGTGAGTTAGAAGCCAGTTTGGGGCTGGGATACATAGGGAGACCCTGCCATAAAACATCAAATAATACGTGTAGTCGGACTTTCTTTGGACTGCCAACTCCCAAATAATGACAAAGATATTCTTTGTTAATTATGAAAGCTTAGCCTTAGTTTAGGATTGTTCCCAATTAGCTCTTAAAACTTGAATTAACTCGTCTATATTAACTTATGTTCTGCCACATAGTTACCTCTCCTCCATAATGTACATCTAACTTCCTCCATGTCTTGCTGGCAAATCCCCAGCCTATCAGATTCCTCCCAGAGTTTCTTTCTCTGACGGATGTCCTGCCTATCCTCTCCTGCCTAGCTACTGGCCAATCAGTTCGTTATTAAACCAAACAGACAGTGTCTTAGGCAGGCAAGGGAAGACGGGGACACATTTTCCCACAGTATGGTTAAATATCCTGCAACAAATACGTAAATTAAACGTGACAAGACAAGGTGTCTGCAGATTGTCAGGAGCGGATGCTCGTCACTCCTATGGAAGCAAGCTGCGGTAGAGGGAGTGTCTTATGGCTACTACTGCTATGATGAAACACCATAACCAAAAGTCAACTGGGGAGAAAAAGATTTATTTGGCTTACACTTTCACATCGTAGTCCGTGAAGTCAGAGCAGGAGCTAATGCAGAGGCCACAGAGAGAGGTGTTGTTTATTGGCTTGTTCCTCATGGTTTGCCCAGCCTGCTTTCTTATGACCTTGATTTGACCCTGACCCTGCCATATTTGCAGCGGTCAAGCCCTGACTCTGACCCTGCAGATGTAGCATCGTGCAGCGGTCACCTGCAGCTGGCTCACAAGTCATCCGCACAACAATTCACCTTCAGTAAAAGCATCTAGCATCCCTATAGCCCAGCTCACCACCTCTGCCTCAGCCTCCAGGATTAGCCCCGCCCTAGCTTTAAGCCCGCCCACCTTGTCATCCCGCCCCCAAGCCATCAGCACCGCCTCTCCTCCAATTCAGAGGGCCCCTGCCCGTGCTCCTGACGTCATCACGTCGTTCAGCCGCTGCCCCCACACGTTGATTCCATTCCTTCAGTCCTCCGAAACCTCACCATCGGCCGCTCGGCGGCTCCCGGCCACACGTCGGCTCTTTCCGGCAGTTCTCCGGAGCCCTCGGAGTCCAGCCAAGGACACTCGGCTCGGAAGTCTTCGTCAACGCTCGGCGCTGTCAGCCAATCTCGATCCTTTCCGCCGCCTCTCGTCGTCCCCGTCCAAACTCGGTCGTTCCCGAGAGCAGTCGGCTGTAAACGCGCCATCGTCGGGCACTGACGGCTCCAATCGTCCATTGACAGAGCCTTAAGAGCTCTCGGGAGCCTCGGTGATGACGACTGTGGAGAAATAGTGGACCACAAAATCCAAAAGTCTTCTCTACAGATGCCAATTCCAGAAGTTTGTACCACAATACCCAGAATGATTAGGGTCCACACAAGTGGTGCCTTCTGGAGACCTTGAACTACAATACCCAGAAGGCTTAGGGCCCTCACCGCCACCTTAAGGTGACTTTGGACTACAATACCCAGAAAACTCAGTCCTCTGGAGAGTTTGACTAATACCAGGAGCCTGTGAGAACCCTCTGCTGCTTGGGGTCGCAGGGAAGCTAGCTACTTAAAAACAAACTCAAAAGTGCATCGAACACTAACAGGTTCCGTCGCCGCCTGAACTTGTTCTCGATCCCACGACGCTGGCCGAGGTGTAATTTAGGGCTGGAGACCGCACAGTCCACGCTGAGTCCCTGCGGAGTCCTGAGTCCGGCCGGGTACCACACTGCCCAGCCCTGGCAGTGACTACACAGAAGCCTCCGTGAAGATGTGAGCACCAAAACAGCGCGAAACCCAGAATGTACCAGGGCTCACAGCCTCCTTAATGAGAGTTGTGCAGGCCGAATAAGCTACGTTACCCAGAGTGCATGCGCGCACCAGGCCAGATGCAAGCCAGAGTATTCAAGCCTTGACCGCCACCCCACCCCTAACCATTCAGCTCCTCTGGGTGGCACTTTTTTGAACAGACACCCCCGCTAGCCCTCACAGAAATCCTCCTGCATCAAACTCTAGTTTTCTGGGGTTACAACTGCATTCTTCAGGACAAGCTGCGCCAGTGGACACAGGAGTTTACGTTTTACACAGCAGCTGAGTCCCTGGACACAGAGGTCTTGCCTTTACCTGTGCACGGGTGTCCGCGCTTTTTGTTTACTGAGGTCCTGAGCACAGGAGTCTGTAGTCCACCTGATTAGCTATTCCCTGAGAGGAGGTTTCCGCACCGTCCCAGAATGTAAACACACACCTCCCCCGAAACAAGTTTCCGCACCTTTCCTGCTTAGTTTTACCCCTAAACATAGGTTTATGCGCTATTCTATATAAGCCTCAAAAAATGTATAAACCAAACTCTACCCCCAACACGAACCCAAGACCTATCCCCTGACCAAACCCTACCTGACACTGACATGAGCCCTAACCTAACCCTCTAATACTAACTAACCTAAACCTATCTAACCCTAACAGAAACAAACCCTCTAAGGCCAACCTAACCCTCTGAGATTCGCCCGTTGTTCTAAGTTCTGCCACTAGGTGGCAGCCTCTGCACGCCATTATTCCCTCTATTTGCTTTGTCTTTTTTGTCTTGGTGTTTCTGCCGATTTCTCCAGTTTCGGCCACTGGGTGGCACCATCTGGATGCTGGTTCTCCTTCGTTTTACCCTTTGGTCTTCAAAAAAATAAAATAAAAAATAAAAAAATAAGTCTCCTTTTCTTTTCTGGACCGGAAATTTCCAGTCATTCCAGTTGGCTCCGGGAGTCACGCCACCCCCAAGCCTCTCACTCGCACAACAGGTGAGCTGTGGCAGGTCTTAGGTGGGGTCATCTTTTCATTGCCGGGGCTGGTCATAGTAATCTTCCACCTCAAGTCACCTAAATCTTCTTCTAACGTGGGGGCCACATACTAGGAACTTTCACCCCTTCAATGGGTGCTCTAAATGTATCCCAAGAGTTTGGGGAGGAACACGGGGACGTGTTCTCAAAGAGAAGGCTGCGGAAGCTGCAGAAGCTGCTTCTAAGACAACTCCTTGGAGGACCGGCATCATCCTTTCCTATCTATGGCCCTTTCTCTAGTTCAGTTCTATATTTCCATAAGCTCCGAGCCCTAACTGCCTTCCTGGAGTCCTCCCTCCACTCCCACCCCTCACGTCGGATGATTCCCAGAAACTCCTTCTGATTCTGTTTACTTCGGAGCAAAGGGGGACGGACTGCGGCAGAGCCAAGGAGAGCTCTTTCGGTCTCAGCAACAGGTACAGGTGCGAAAAGCTACTTTTGAGGCGGCTTTCCCATCCACGTGCTCTGATTAGAGCCCCCAATAGTACGCAGGTTCCCAGGACCTGAACACTTTTCACTAAAACCTTATGACAGGAATTTAGGGTGCAACTCAAAACCCCGGTAATTGTCTCAGACTACTCAGGTTCTTCAGGGCCAAGAAAAGTCTCCCAGGGAATTTCTGGAACCGTAGCACGTTTTCAGAATTTACACCCTTGCTGAGAGGAGTCGCGGGCGGTCGGGCCGCGTGGGCTCTCACGAGGTAGCTCGCGGCTTCCGGCCGCGCAGGCCCGCTCAAGATGTCGTACATGCTCCCGCATCTGCACAATGGCTGGCAGGTAGACCAGGGCATCCTGTCGGAGGAGGACCGCGTGGTCGTCATTCGTTTCGGACACGACTGGGACCCCACTTGCATGAAGATGGACGAGGTTCTGTACAGCATCGCCGAAAAGAAATGGAAGATAGTGGGAGATCTTTCTCATCTTGTGTGAGTCCTGTTTGGATATCCCAGCTGTTTTAAAGCAAACGGTGTTGGTGTCGCTTGTGCTCCGTGGCATCCTCTGTGGTTCTCGAGCCTGACAGGCCTATCTGCTGCCAATATGAACATCCGCCGTGCTCGGCCCGATGATCTGATGAACATGCAGCACTGCAACCTGCTGTGCCTGCCCGAGAACTACCAGATGAAGTACTACTTCTACCACGGCCTCTCTTGGCCCCAGCTCTCCTACATTGCTGAGGATGAGGATGGCAAGATCGTGGGCTATGTCCTGGCCAAGATGGAGGAGGACCCTGATGATGTCCCTCATGGACACATCATCTCACTGGCTGTGAAACGCTCCCACCGGCGCCTCGGCCTGGCCCAGAAGCTGATGGACCAGGCCTCACGGGCAATGATCGAGAACTTCAGCGCCAAGTATGTATCCCTGCACGTGAGGAAGAGCAACAGGGTGGCCCTGCACCTTTATTCCAACACCCTGAACTTCCAGGTTAGTGAGGTGGAGCCCAAGTACTATGCAGATGGAGAAGATGCATACGCCATGAAACGAGATCTCTCCCAGATGGCAGAGGAGCTGAGACGGCAGCTGGTGCTGAAGAAGGGCAGATACGTGGTTCTGGGTTCCAAGGAGAATCAGGGCAGCACACTTCCTGGTTCTGAAGAGGCCAGTCAGCAGAACCTGGCTGGAGATGACAGTGGCAGTGACAGCAAAGACAGCGCTGATGTCCAAGACAGCGTGCAAGACTTGGATTCCACCTCCTAGAGCCCGCTCGAGCATTGTAGGTTCTTGCATTTTAGCCACAGTTTCCTTGGGAACCCTGGCTGTGCTCTGCAGTAACTCTGGAGTCACCCACAGTGACCCCCATGGCTTCTCATTGTCAGCGCTTAGCAGCCTTCCACATGGCCTAATCATGAAGGCTCTCTAGGACACAGAAGCTGCTGTGCAGGAGCCAAGGAACTTTGAGGACTGCCATGGCAGCACCGTCCTTGGCTTCTCCCACGCTGCCGGCCGCTGTATTCGGTCTGCAGTTGTCCTGTACTGATTGTGTGTATGCTATAGGGTTTTACCTAGAATGCCAAACAGGAAGTGGCGATAGCTCAGGAAACTCCCCAGCTTTCAGCGTTTGCCATTATTTGGGTTTTCATTTTTGAGGAAGCAGGACCATCATTAGTCCTTATGCCCTCTGCCTCTGTCTGGTGGAAGTTAGCTACTCTTGCCTTCTATGAAACTACCCGTGCCCTGCCCTCCCTCTTTGAAGAAAACTTCCCTTGTGGTGGGAGAAGGAGATAGGTGTTGGACTTCTGCACAGGCAGAATTTGTAGATCTTAAGGCAAGGACAAGCAGAAATCATATTGTAATCTCTGACCCCCCCCCAAATAAAAATAAAAATATTAAAAAGGGAAAAAAAAAAGAATTTACACCCTTTTATCCGCTAGCTCTGGAAAATAACAGGGCATCAAATTTGGCTTTTGTCACTCATTCAGCTCTGGGGAGCCCGAACTCCAAACGCTACAGGGCTTTAGAGGGATGAATACCTCCCAGCTCATCAGAGTGGCCCAATTACAATAACCAAGACACTAAAAGGCAAAGGCAAAGCCAAGCTATCTTGACTGACTGCTGACCGAACCGCTTGCAGGCAAAGATTGTGCTGGCCACTTTCCAATCAACCCACTCCACTCGTGTGAGGAATCTGTGGTGTCTGGTCACTTGAGGCTGAAAAATCAGCTGTGATTGAGAAGAGAACAGCATCACTGAGGTGAAGTCTTTGGGGAAGTATTTCTGCGGGGTCAGCACACAGAAGCTGCGGTCCAGAGGTGGCCAAGCTTGCATCTTGTGTGGGCAGCTGAACTTGGTAGTATGAGTCACCCAGCTGATGCTGGTTTTGAAGGTGTGAAGGGGTCATGGAGAGTCACTGTGGCTTGGCACTGTGTGGCAGGGCTGGAGTCCCTGAAGAAGGCCCAGGAGAGGCGATTGATGAAGATGCAGCCCATTTGCAGCAGAAGACCCCAGCATTCTGGAGATGCCAGTGCCGTGGGATGACCCCCATGAACAGCAGCAGCTTTCGGGGGAACCAGCCAGAGCCTGGAAGACAAACTGTGTGTGCTGCAGAGGGCAGAACTGGAGAAATGCCCCAAGCCTTTTATTTTTTGTTGTTTGGTTTGAGTTTTTTGTTTTGTTTTGTTTTGTTTTGTTGGTTGTTGGGTCCATGGGAGTCACGTAAAGATGGGGGACAGATCACCAAAATCTGTTACACCAGAAGCAAACTTTATTCCAGGAAAAAAAATTGAAAGTTTAAAAAAAATAAATCTCTAATGGGCACAAAAAGCTTATGAGCTAACTGAGACCACAGCCAGAGATGGACTTGTAAGGCTGTGACAATGGTTGTTTCTGGGCCCCTCTTTATATAGCAAGAAGCAACAAGCACCAGGCATGAACAAAGGAATTTTCATAGTTTCAAGGTAAAACTCAGATACAAATCGCCCTTCTCTGCACTTTCCATTAACAGGGTTTTCTAGTTCCAACAGTGTTTGTACTTAAGTCACTGTTCTTCCCGGGTGCTCCCTGGTAGTGTCTGCTGCAGCCACGCACTTCCCCTGACACTGCCAGCTTTGCATAGCAGGGACAGTGCTGTCGGGGTCCAGCCCCGACATAAATTATTTCTCATACCAGAGTGGAGGTGTGGGAATAATTGAGGCACAGGTCACAAGGCGATAGCAGGAGGGAGCCTCGGGGTTCATTCAAATCCTGCAGATCATCCGCGTTTATTATCCAAACAGCTTTTATATCAAAAGGAAAACTGAGGGGGAAGTGGATTAGCATTCTGTTTCCTGGGTAGCGGAGGAGAATGACTATGGTCACGTCCACAACTACCTATGCCCATTTTGTCACGTCTTTCCTTCTATGCCTGCTCTGTCACTTAGACTGTAAAAACATCTCTTCCCCAGGGGACCTCCTAAATTAGATAGAAGGAGCAGAACGATATTAGCACATCCTGACCCTTTGTTTAGGATGGCATCAGGTTGTCTCAAAAGGCTAGGTGACCACCTTCCGTGTGGCAGGTGCAAACTGAGCCCTGAAGATCACTCAGAATTCTGGCCGCCATACAATGTAGAAATATGGGCCTGTATAATAAGGCCCCTATACGCTCTCTTATTAATTTTACTAAAACCTGTGCTTGTGCAACAGGTCACGACTGCCTTAGGCAAAGACTTCTTCATTTACCCAAACAAAGCATAACCGAAAATGCACACACACACACACACACACACACACACACACACACACACCCCATCCTTTAAAGGTTACCTCATCTCACATCAGTGGCTGGTCATGAGTGGCCGGGGTTATCTAAAAGCCGACCCTCAGTTTGCAGAGAGTTGCTTCAGCCTTGCAGACAGCGCTATGGGTTGTAAAGCAAAGTAACCCGCTGTTAACAGTTAATCCTTAAACTGCTGAGAAAGCTGCTGACAGCCTGCTCTCATTCTCCTAGGCGTACAACTTTATATTTCTTTCTTACTGCATTCTTATTTCTGGAATCTATGTTTCTATATTCTTATTCTTGGAGTCGTCATTGTTGTCATTTTCAGAACAGGGTTTCTCTGTGTATCCCCAGCTGTCCTGGAACTCATTCTGTAGACCATGCAGGCCTCCTGAGTGCTGGGATTAAAGGAGTGCACCACCACCACCCTCCTGACCCAAGCCCTCTGAAGGATCTCAGAAGATGGTAAGTGAATCTCAGATGTTGGGCATTGAGTTATTTATACTGTCGGACTTTGGTTTGTTTTGTTCACATTGTGACTGTGCCCTGGTTCTTCCATCTCGAAGTAAGAAAGTATTTTCCTGGAGCCCATGGTCAGAGACTCTGAATTTTAAAAGACTTAGGATTTTAAAAGAGACTGGCTGTTTTAAAGAATTTTTAAGTGTTCGAGTTCTTTAAGACCACAGTACTTTTAAAGTTTGGAGTGTTTTATTGTAATGTTGGAATTAAGGCATGATCTTGGGGAAGAACAAGAAAGGAAAGGTTATGGCTTAACAGTGATGTATTTGTGTGTCAAGTTGACAAGAGGTCAATTGTGTTGGCTAATTTCAACTCAACACAAGTCATCTGAAAGGAGGGAATCCAATTGAGAAAATACTTCCATAAGATCTAGCTGTAGGGCATTTTCTTAATTACCAATTGATGGGGAGGGCCCAGCCCATAGTGAGTGGTGCCATCTCTGAGCTGGTGGTCCTGGGTTGTATCAGAAAGAAGACTGAGCAAGCCATGAGGACCAAGCCAGTAAACAGCAGCCCTCCATGGCCTCTGCATCAGCTCCTGTCTCCAGGTCCCTGCCCTGTTTGAGTTCCTGTCCTGAGTTCTTTCAATGGTGAACTACCACGAGGAAGTGGAAGCCAAATCAACCCTTTCCTTTCCGGCCCCACCTTGCTTTTGGTCATGGTGTTTCATCACAGCAATAAAACCACTAACTAGGACAGGCTTCTAAGAGCCCTTGGTCACTGCATCAATAGGAAACCACCCAGTTAAGTTTTCGGTAGGCACTGTGGCAGACGATGCTGGTTACCCATAAAAAGATGCCAGCACAGGAAACCACACGCACAATTAAGGACAATCACCTCACACCTAAGAGACTGGGCTCCGGGCAGGTGACTCACTCCTTCATGGTAGCTCCAGACTGCCCTTTTCCCCATTCTGGGCAGAGATCTTTGAAAATTAGGCACCACCATCGCCGTTACTCCTCAGGAAGCAAACATTTCCTCTGCACCGCCTTAGCTTGACTGCTCTTCTACAAAGTATCGTCTAGCTCTTCCAGACTCCACAAATCCACACCCCCAGGACCCTGCTCCAGGGCTTGCCCCATCATCAGTAGCCTAAAGTTGGTGCTGAGACAAATTCTCCAGGCGTGGCAACGCACCACCCACCCATCATGATCAGTCTCTTGACTGCAGTCACATGCATAGGCTCTGGCCATATCCCACGAACCAAAGTCTAGACTGGGAACTGTTCCCCCTGGTCAGAGGCTGTAGGCAACTAACACCGTGCCAGTCGGCTTGGAAAGTGCTTTGCCTGCCAGTCCATAAACCAGGAACCCCAGGTTATTGGCCAGTTCAGAATTCCCATGCGGTAAATGGACTAAATTCACTCATCCTATGGTTCCAAATCCGTGCACTTTGCTCAGTCTCCTCCTCCAGCCTACCAGGTCTATATGGTCCTGAGCCTTCAGGATGCTTTCTTTGTCATTCCTCTGGTGCCAATAAGCCACCTCGGGAGCGCAGACCCTTTTGGCCCGTAGGGGGGGGGGGGGGGCTATGGTGATTGTTCCAACCATTCAACTAGTAATCCTGTGAATTTACAAGTTTAAAAAAAAAAAAAACCTGTATTTTGCTTGGGTTGCTGGATCTACCTGAGCAATAAGATTCTATCTGACTGGGCACAGTACTTGGTGACTCTTCGCCATGCAGAACGAACCGTATCAGATGCCCCTCCGGCCCTTTCACCAGATAGCCCAGTTAGATAAACGTCTGCTTGCCTTCCCTCCTCCTCCATAAACAATGAAAGAAATGGAAAAATAGAAATGACTAAGGTCATGAAGGGGGCCCCCACACAGCGGGGCTCCCTCCCAAAGGACCCAGGATTAGGCACAACCCATAAACAACCTGCTTTCACAGAGAGATCCTTTGTTAAGCAGAGAAGAAAAGTTCAAGTGGCGGCTTTCTGATTCTGGCAGAAAAACGGCAGCAAATGACCTTGCAGGTGAAGAGGA